CGTTTGCATTCTAAGTAAACATGCGAATAATACATATTCGAAACTCCTTGGCAACTTACACATTGTTCTCATCCTTAAATTCTGAAGGGTACCAATTCGAGTACTCGGCCTTGTCGCCGTGAAAATCCCTCTGGTGGCTGCAGAAGAACACAAACATATCCCGCCCGGATATTCTAGGCACTTGTCCCGTATCTTTCACTACACTCTCTGTATGCCTCTGTTGATTCAGTTGGGTATCTGTGTTTTGCTGAGTGTCTGTGTAAGTGGTTTTCGGTTGCTTTTTCTGCTTTTTATTCTGAGCCGAAACATTGCTCTTAGCACTAGCCCTCGCTTTGTTTTTATTGTTATTCGGCTGAGGTGGGAATTCGGCTGTGAACCGCATGTTCCCCAAACTACCACTATCGCTATCATCTGGGCTCCTCCATTCCATACGAACAAATGTGTCGTTGTGGTCAGCCTAACTAACGTCCATATTCACTTCTTCGTCTGAATTTACCTCGGATGGCTTAGGGTCTAAGGCATCGCTTGCAATGGACATCCGAACTTGTACATGTTCTGTACTGCTGAAGCTGGACTCACTCCGTTTCTTCCTTATAGTCCTAATTTTCTTCCGTGTGCGTGCACCGTTTGGCTTGCGATGGTGCTCGGCCTTGCACTGTTCCTCGTCGCTTAGATTCATCGTGATCAATTACTCACCTATATATATATATATATAATATATATAATATATATAATATATATATATATATATATATATATATATATATAATATATAATATATATATATCCGGTAAGTCAAAATTGAACACTAAACTTGGCAGAACACCCCGTTCCTTTCATATAACAATAGTGAGTGGCTCTATGGTGAAAGTATTATCAAATATCAATGGCAGCACTGTACCTGCAACTCTGTAAGTACTACTATAAAAATATGGTGTAGACTATGCATTTGTTTATTATGAGGGATCAAGTAAATAAACGTTCTTTTGTCAGTATTTTTATATTTGCAAACGTTTATTTATTTATTTATTTTTTAAATATCCAGCAGAGGATTCAAGAGGTGTGTATTTATTTATTTTAGAATACTACTACATAAAAATATAAATAGTGAATTACATATGTGTATTTATGTAAATACTGTACTGTACATAGTGAATACTATTTGCTTTAGCTTTTTTTTTTTAAACAATAAACTACATATACGTACAATTAGCTTGTAAAAAATAATTACACTCAATGACGTATGCTTCGTTTAAAAAACAACGTTTTTATGGCCTGTAAGCTTGTTCATCATACATAGGTACATATTTTATAAACGGCTTTGTAAAACGTACATAAATTTAACTTTTTGATGCAGCAGCATAAATCATCATCACTAAAATCAGAGGATTCTGCTCGACCAATCAGAAACCTATGACACCCAACACAGAAGCACGCAATAATTTATATGTAAATACCGTGTACAACTGTACATTTAGAACGATAAGTTCGCTCCAGCTCAACTCACTTGAATCTCGATCATGTTTATTATATTTTTCAGCTCAAATTGACTACCACTACTACTGCTACTATCCATTATAAGTACTCTTCTAAATCCTTTGATATATCTTCATCATGAGCCGTGGTTATGCAGGCCACGTCGGGGTTGCGACCGCACCGCGCCCTTCACCCTATGGTCGTCCCCAGCCTCGTTCTGATATATATGCTATACCCGAGGTAGGCCTCTAGATGCGTATTTGTCTTTGTATAGCAGTTCGTTGATGCTGCATTGATAGTGTAGCGTACGGTGATTGTTTTTATGTCCAGATATACTACCTCTCTCCTATTAGTATATATCGAACGATATGTTGGATATTGCGAACAGTATTAGTTGAACATGTCATCTGCGTTGGAGTGTTTGCTCGATTATCTAAAGGGCTTGATAGCTTTAGAATATAGTAGATCCTTCAGTCGATTGTATCAGTATTCTGAGAGCATTCATCCAATTCTCGCAGCCAGATACGTATGGTTGTAGTCTTGTTAGTGGTGAAGTCCTCCTACTCAGTATACGTATGTATGAATTCCACATACATAGGTGCGTTCGGTGGCATCTACCCAATCTATTAGAAATTCTGATACCGTTGAGACGTAGTTATACAGATTCGTCCGCAGCACGCATATTTTTAAAACTGCAGGATACACACACACATA